ATTCTAAAGGAATCAGAGGTCGGCAGCTTTTCTAAATTTTTAAAAATATTTATAGATTTTAAAATTTTTAAATCGCAAAACCAGGTTTCGCCTGAGAACCCCTCCAAACTTGTTGAATGCACTGGGCACCGCTGCTGTGAAATTCTGAGTCTCAAGCGAAACCTGGAGTTTCATTAATGTTTCATTGGTTTTTGTTTAAAAACCAGATTTCGCTTGAGACTCCTTCAGAATTTCACAGCAGCAGCGCCCAGTGGATTTAAAAAGTTTGGAGGGGGTCTCATGTGAAACGTTTTTCTGTTTTTTTTATATATATATGTATAAAACCTGCCGACCTCTGGTTCCTGTAGAATTGCGTCGTATTGAGCGGCCATCTCCCCATGAAGCGAATCCCGCATGCCCCCCCCGAGCATGCGGGGATCGCTTCATGGGGCCGCGGCCTCCCCCCATGAAGCGAATCCCGCATGCTCCCCCCGAGCATGCTCCCCCCACGACTTTGTGCACAAATTTGGCTCTGATGTCGTGGGCGGCTCTAATGATGAGCGCAAGGCCGCGTTCGCGCGCCTCGTTGAGCGCGGCCGCTTGATCTTCGAGAGGAAAGCTCATCGCGGGCATCCAGTAGACGTGCCACTACTACAGGTCAGCGGAACCATGGCAGATCTCGGCCCAGCAGATCGCGACCTCGTTGGACCGGCGCTGGTGGAAACAATTCGCTGCAAAGACCTCATCGAATACGTCCGCAGCGCTGCCCGCGTCCACAACGTGGAGACGTTCATCAGATACCTCGGCGGAGAGGGGGCCGAGAGGCCGAAGAAACGAGGCAGGATCGGCAGGACAACTGCAGACGATGCTGAGAAACGCGCCGACCTGCTGCAGTCCCTGCGAGCCCAAGAGTCCGTTGCAGACGCAGTGGCGAAGCACGTCGAAGCTTTGGCGGGTGCGGGGCAGGGCGGCGGTGTACCTGAGACAACGCAAGTCCCTACCACACATCAGACGAAGTTCGATGTGCCGTCCAGAAGGTACGTGGTCGGCTTCGGTGCCCAGAGCCTGAATTGGTCCGCTCGTCTGGCCGGGCTGAGAGACGTCGATGATTGGGACATCAAAAAATGCGCGTTCACGCTGGCCCCGCAGATTGCAGAGCGAGTCGAGTTTGCGCTGGGCCAGCGCCAGGCAGCCAAGTTTGAGTGTCCCCGTAGATATTCCACGGACACGGCTGCAGTATGCGAGGAGCTCGGCATGACCACAGAGGATGCTAAAAGCACGTGCGCATCTGTCTTCTGCGGCGGCAATCCGCCCGAAGCGCTCGCCGAGAATAGCTTCCTCTTGGCGTTGGGGCGCGAGGGCATTTATCTTCGCTGGCTTGCTGTCTCATTGAGCCCTGAGATGCACGAGATCTTCGTCAGCGATAGTTCTCGGCGGAGCCCGGCTGCGACTACGTGGTTCTACGTGTGGACTTACGTTGAAGATTGCGTCTTATCTGCCTGGGTCCACTTTATCAAAACGCAATCCGCGCAGCATTTGTGTTTGCATTTCGACGGCGTCATGGTTGATCCTGGGCGGGTCGGAGATCGGGCAGCCTTCATGGCCGACGCGGAGAAGGCGATCTTGGAAGCCACGGACTATTCCGTAGAGGTTGCCTTGAAGACCCACGCGCGCTTTCTGGGCGCGCTCGTCGGCGACGCGGAGACCGCGGCGCGCGACGACGCCGCTGTTCCACAGGTGCTGCTGGCCGCTGGCAACTGCATCATCCTCATGATGGCCAGGCTGACAGACAACGTCGCCGCGGCGGCGTCCATGGCGAACAAGCGCAACAGGGCGAACAAGGAAGCTGCAGAGTGCCAGGTGCGGACGTACAGCAACTGCAGCAAACTCATGAAGCAATTCCTGGTGCCCTCGTTGGAGTTCCCGACTGGAGAGGGCAAATATTTGATCCACGTCGAGAATGGCGGCCACCCGCAATGCTTCGCCGCGACCCTGCATCAGGACGACGTCTGCCATGTGCTCGTGGGGGGGAAAACTTATGAAACCAAGATTTCGGACGCACGGTGCTGGTCCGCGTCTGCAGACTCAAGGTTTCTTGCTCAGTTCAAGCTTTCGGCCGTGGAGCTCCCGCCAAACACACAGGAACAAGTGCTCTTTGAACTGAAAGCGGGCGGATCGGCTAGCGACGGCTCAGGCAGCTGCGGCGCGCCCTACACCAAGGGCAAGGGTCTGCGGCAAGACGTCGCCGACGAGTTCGAGACGCACTTGGAATTCTGCGTATGCGGGTGCAGGCTCTGCAAGAAGAGCGATACGACTCATGAGGCCATCGTCCATGACCTCCACACCGTGACGACAGTGACGGTCACGCCCTGGCAGTGTAATAGCAAGAAATGTCGATTGACATGCGGCCCCAACTTCGTGTGGGTCGGGGGGCGCAAGATGAACGCTGCTACTCTCGCCGACCTGGAGTGCGCCGGAGTTGTCTTCATCTCGAGTAAGCGCGGCTTCACCTTGAGATACGTGCGGTACTACGAGGCAATGTTGTTCAGGAACTTCGTCTCGGCCAGGGGCGCAGACTGGGTGCAGAAGGATGTCTTTGACGACGGCGACGGCAGCGGTTGGCAGGGGAAGGGGTTCCCTTTCGACATGCGTAAACGTCACAGCCATGCCATCCTGTATGTGCTGGCCGTGCAGGAGTTGGAACCGCTCGGCAAGCATCTTGATATCTACGTGGAGGAGAATATCAGCGAAAGCGCTCTGAGGACATACGACGACCACCTCCACAAGCACGTCTATCCGCCCGCCAACTCAGCTTGCGTCACTGAACTAGTGGGCGACGGCCACGAGAAGGTGTTGGTGCGCTGCAGCGGCGGCCGTGACCTGCCCGGAGGGAAAGTGCTGAAAGGGCCTTCGGCTGCTCGCAAGTTTGCTGGGAAGGCCTTGACGAAAAAGCCCGCTGCCGCGAAGACTCGCTCCAAACCCAAGCCTGTCGCGAAGAAGACCGCCGTGATTAAGAAGCCCGCGGCGACCAAGGCTGGCACGATGCGCAAAGCCCCGAGGTCTCTACACCACAACAACGGGTGGCTTATGCTTCTGACCACGAGTGGCCGCGTGGTGGCTGTGACCGAGCAGTCCGCGCCAGAGGGCAACGACGTGGTCAAGTCCACCACCCCAGGGCTCTCCCGCAATATCCGAGGGTCAACTGCTTCATATACGACAGGGCATGCTCGGTGATGCCTTCGGCGCTGCTGGACGACCAGTTCAATCAGATCAAGTACTGGGTCGCCGACAGACTGCACGCCCAGAAGCACGTGCCCACCTGCGCATGTAATCCGCTGACAATGCATCGCTTGAAGCTGCGTATCAGTGGACTTAACACCCAGGTGGCCGAGCAGTGTTTCTCCTGGTTTCGCGGCTACTCGCGGATTTTCAACGAGATGTCGCCCAGCCGCCACCGCTTCTTCGTCCTGTACTTCGTTGCCAAGCACAACTCAATGTTGTCTGCTGGCGACACTGATCACCTAGGGCACCCGGCGGCAGTTGCCAGCAAGGTTCACAAGAAACCCAGTGGGCATTACCCGTGCGCTTAAAGCGACGGTATTCCACGTGCGTGTAAAGAGGGCGGGCATGCGCGCCGCCACCCGTAAAAAGGCCAGTCGCGATTCTTGCGCGCGCAGACGGACGCCAGCATAATCCACAACAGATCAACGCAAGTGGTGCTTCTAAGCTGCGTTCGCACCTGTTCACGTCTATGTATGTTTGTATGTGCGTATGTATATATGAACGCTAGATTTTTTGCACCATCGATGGACGTACTACTACGTACACGCGTGCGTCTTCATGCATATGTTTCTGTATATGTGTACGGATATATAGTTGTAGTTGGAGATGTATCGTATGCGTATGTGTGTACGCGTATATGTATGTATATATATATATATATATATATACACACGCAACATCAACAGTGCCAACAGGTCGGACGATATTTCGACTATCTCAAATACCATCTTGATACGGCCTGTGCGGCCGAGGGGACTCCCAGAACACCCCGGCCTCAATAAGCAAGGGGGAGGATGGAGAATGGTGTGCAGCGGGGAGGACGCGAAGGAGCAGGGGGACAATGAGGACTCTTGAAGTGTACACCTGCGGTGTAGGCCTGACTCTAGTCGGAAGCTTGATGCACTGCTTCCCATCCTCGGCGGCAGTCGGTACAACACAACATATGGAGCACGACCACGAGCCCGCACAGGAGGCACACGGTAGGTACAACAAGACATTTCGCTACAAGGGGCCTAGGGGGCACGTCGTTCGTCGAACCCTGAACTTCCTGAGATGTCTCGCGGGATGCGGTCCCCGAGGAGGAGGAGGAGGAGGAGGAGGAGGAGGAGGAGGAGGAGGAGGAGGGAATGGTGGCATCGGACATGTCTGCTGGGGGCACCTGCTGGAACGCTGGCCTCTGCCTTGCTGCGCCTGCTGCGCCTCGGACCGCCTCGGAGTCGCTGCGCACTGCGAAGGGCGCATTCCTCCCTCCCTCCCTCCCTCCCTCCCTCCCTCCCTCCTCCCTCCCTCCCTCCCTCCCTCCCTCCCTCCATTCTCTTCGAAATATATGCAGTCTGGGAAGCCACGCAGTGGAACCGCAATCCTGATCAGTCTGGGTTCCAGACTCCACGACATCATGCAGTTCGACCCCGGCAGGAGGATGCGCATGACCCCCAAGTGTTCGGAACACCTTTGGTGTCTAAGCGACGGACTCAATGCTCGCGAAATCTAGGAAGTGCTGATGCGAGACGCTCCACTAGGACAACACTCCTGCACAAGCAGTAACGCAATTGACACGGCCAGGACCGTGGACATCGCCACCCGCGGTTTGAGTATCTCGTTCAAAAAGGGCTCCAGAGTGTGGGGTAAAGAAAGGTCAGCATGGGAGAAGCACGCCGAAGGAGGAGGACGACGACAAGGAAGCAGATGAGGCGTCGCGACGACACGGAGGGAGGAGCACGCTGGCGCTGTGACGAGGCCTGCCCGTGTAGCAAGAGCCAAGAGCGTCCCCCTCGTGGTCACGCCGGTTCCCCCATTGCCATACCTGGCAGAGCAGATCAATGGAAAAGGATCAGGAAGAACGGAGGAGGAGATGCGCTGACACAGTCCATGCGAGCGACGAGAAGAGTTACCTTGTAGCGGCAAGGTCCAGAGCGTATACTCAAACAGGCATGCTGTAGACGTCTTGCAGTGCCCTTCCACACCCCTCTTCCTTGTCCTCCTCTCCTCTCCTCCCCCTCCTCCTCCTCCTCCACCTCCTCCTCCTCCTCCTCCTCCTCCTCCTCCTCCTCCTCCTCTTCCGCATAACCTCATCGCTGATTTCTCCATTTTCGGGAGCGACTGAACAATTCAGGACATCGTCTCAACTCCTCACTTGGGGAGATTGGCAGAATGGCATGAGCTTCTTGAGCATTCAGACAAGAGCTCCGAAAACTTCTCTACGCATGACCGGGGGAGAAAGAAAACAACTCTCCACACGGAGTCATCTTGTCTGTCCTGGGGCCTGCGGGGCCCCGGGAAGCCAACAATGGCGAAACAAGAAAGACTCCCTCATCCCGGGGCGCCTTTCCATGACGACGTGTGCCCGTCGACCGACAGCCTGCGACACGTCATGCTAGCACCCCCCGAGACATGAAACCAATGGCGCATACCTGGCGACGGGGAGCGCTGGTGTTATATGGAAATGGGGCCCGTCGCTAAGTCACACGCCTTACCGCTTCCGCGGCGATTGCTCTACCCGAATCGCCTGCTCGAGGCTAACCAAAGGCGTAGCCGCTGATAGCGGATGAATGGCGAACGGCGTGGCGATCGTGGCTACCTCGGGCCTTCTGCTCCACGGCTTCTTTAGACTACCATGAGCACGTGGGCAGGCTTATGGCACCACAGCTCTGGAGCGGCCAAATTTTCAGTGACGGATGCTGGACGACCTGGCTTTGGCACGAGCGCTGGCCATGCTCCTCGAACTTCTCTTCGTCCCACCCCTCCCCACTCATGCGTCGGCGGCCAGCCTGGAGGGGAAGTGAGGGGGGGCGGGTCTTCTCAGAAGGCTCGTGAGTCCTCCCAACTTCTGAGAAGTCTTCTGAACCTCCCCCGAAGATACAGGAAAACAAAAGGCCGAGGGGGGCCTCTGAGAAGCCCCGCTGCCTTCTGTGACTACCTACCAGACCACCCCAACCTAACCCGAAGACCCCAATTTCGGGTTGGGGGGTGTACGGGTTCCATATCTTTGTTTGTCAATGTTCCCTGACGCCCCCCCACTGGGAATGGAGGGCACACTGGGGCCTCGGGTTGGGTTGGGGTGGTTCGGTGGGTGGTGATTCTGAGAAGGCCTCGTCTTTCTCAGTGCTGCCCGTGCTGCTGCCCCCAGTCCGCCTCTTCCTGCGCCTCTCTCGCTCCGCGCGCCCTCCCTCTCCTCCTCCTCATCCCCCTCCTCCTCCTCCTCCTCCTCCTCCTCCTCCTCTTCCTCCTCCCCTCCGTGTGCCCCGGGGCCCTCGGGTCCGAGGAGGGCCCCGAAGCGAGCGGACCGCGCGCGGCCCCAGCGTGGCCCCTTCTGCTGGGCCTCCTCTGGCCCGTCCGCGCTTGCGTCGGCGCCCCTCAGGCCCCTCGGCCTCCTCCTGCTCGCAGCTCTCTGTCTTCCTCCTCCTCCTCCTCCTCCTCCTCCTCCTCCTCCTCCTCCTCCTCGGCGCTCTCCGCCCTGGGGGCCGGCCTCAGCCTCCTCTCAGCCTCCTCCTCCTCCTCCTCCTCCTCCTCCTCCTCCTCCTCCTCCTCCTCCTCCGTCTCCTCCTCCTCCTCCTCCTCCTCCTACTTTTCCTCCTCCTCCTCTTCCTCCTCCTCCCGCTCCTGCTAGCCATCGCGGCGCGAGCATCGGGCTCGGGCGTCCGCTCGCGCGCGACTCGCACTGGCGCAGCGCGCGGGAACCAAGTGATCCTCAAGCTGCTGATTTTAGGTCGGGCATGTCCCCCTGAAGGCGGAGCTTGGGTGAAAAATTAACCATACCCAACAAATACACCAAAATAGCCGCAAACACTTAAACCATCGCCCCCTATACTATTTCTTAACTATTTTTGAATATTCCTCCTGTAGAGGGGCACGCCCGACTTAATGCTGATTCTGGGTGCCATCTTCAATGGCGAGCTCGGGGACATGTCCCTGACCTCGCCCGCAAGGTCGGCGCCAGCGAGCTCATCGTGGAGCTCCTCGCCCACCGGCGCGATGTCCCGCAGCTCGGTGAGACAGGCCATCGGGGCCAATAGGAGGGAGTTCGAGAAGCGGGTGAAGGAGAAGCGCTTGCCCATAGTCTCGCACTTGAGCTGGGAGGGCAGCGTGTACCCCACGACGGTAGCCACGGCGTTCGCTCAAGAGGAGGAGGAGGAGGAGGAGGAGGAGGAGGAGGAGGAGAGGAGGAGGAGGAGGAGGAGGAGGAGGAGGGGGGGGGGAGGAGAGGGAGGAGGAAAAAGGAGGAGGAGGAGGAGGAGGAGGAGGAGGAGGAGGAGGTGCTCGGCAGCTGGCCCGACCTGTGCATGAGACTCGCGGAGGTTGGCCTGGTGGGAGGCACCAGCACCAAGAGCACGGGGAAGGACACCCGGGAGGAGCAGGAGAAGTACTGCCACGTGCAGACCGTGAAGAAGACGCTGCCCAGGCGGAGGCATCGCCCCAAGGACTCCAAGGAGCAAAAGAACACGGATAAACACACGGCGACGAGACGGAGACCATGGAGGCCAACAGTGGAGCTTCATGGTCATTTCCGCATCCAGGTGGCCAAGTGGGAATGCCCCAACAAGAAGTGCCAGTACATCAACTTCTGCTTGAGGCGGAGCTGCGGGATGTGCCGGTTCACACCGCCCGAGGAGACGATGATCATGCAGAAGAGGCAGTTGGAGGAGCTGTCACACTTGCGCCAGCTCTCGGAGGAGTGTCAGGAGGAGACCCTCGAGGAGCTGGAATACCAGAAGAACGCGAAGAAGGAGCGCCGTCATCTGCGCCGCCGCCGTGGAAAAAGAACCGCTGGACGACAAGATGAGCCTTCCCAGTCTAGTGCAAGAGTTCGCCTTGGACTCAGATGTGTTGGACGCTGGGCCGCAAATTGGAGATCTTGAGTGGCAAGATACGGTTGCGGGACAACCTGGGGGAGGCGCGGCCGACTGGATCAGGGATCCCCTGGACTACTCGTTTGCGGCGTGGCGTAAGGCAGTGGCCAACCAGAGGGGCAAGGAAAAGTAAGCCATGACTGCGGGCTCGGTGGAGCTCGCAGACGTGGACGAGAAGCAGGACGCCAAGAGTGCAGACGTGATGGAGTTCGCAGGGCGATGAGGGCTACCCAGCATCCGACGTGGAGATCAGCCTCATGACGGAGGGCGGGACGGCTCTCAAGATCGTGAGCGTCAGGTCGGACATGGAGGAGCTGGACAACGGGGAGCAGGTCGTGGAGCCGAGCGTCGGCCGCAAGAAGACGTGAAGCAAGCGCGGCATGCACAATAGAGAACTGAATGACTTCCCGAAGTTTCCGAGCCTCGTGGGCGCCATGGGGAATCGCGACGGCAACTGCGATAGCATCGACGATACCACGCTTGAGAAGCTGGCGGAGCATAAGGTTCGGCGCCGACTGGAAGAGCGTGGTGCACAGCTGCACACGAAGAGCAAGAAGTTCCCGAAGGTGTAATCCGGCCCTGCAGGTGACTGCGGGCACCTCAGGGCGGCCGTGCGGGCGCGGCCCCGTCGCCCCCCTCTGGATTCGCCTCCTTTCTGCGCGGCGGTGTCTAGTCTCTCGTCGCGTCGGGCTGGTCTCGCCTCGTTGTCCTGGCCGCCGTTGGGCGGCGGTTTTGGGGTCATGCGTTGGTCTCGTCGCTCTGCCGGATTCCCCTCGTGTTTTTCTAGCCGCCATGGGGCGGCGCTCTGGGGTCCTGCGTCGGTCTCGTCGCCTTGTCGAATTCCCCTAATTTGTGCTGCGCTGGGCACTGCTGGAGGTTAGCATTGGCTAGCCTGGTGCTTGGCCTGTGTGCCAGGGGGAAGAGACACACCCCACGTCATCAGCACCCTCCGAACCCTCCTGCTACTGCTCCTCCACATCCCCCTCCTCCTCTTCCTACTCCTCCTCATTCTCCTCCTGCTTCTCCTGCTCCTCCACCTCGTCCTACTCCTCATCCTCCTCCACCTCCTCCTCCTCATCCTCCTCCTACTCCTCCTCCTTCCCCTCCCCATTCCCGTCCCCCTCCTCCTCCTCCTCCTCCTCCTCCTCCTCCTCCACCTGCTCCTCCTCCTCCTCCTCCTCCTCCTCCTCCTCCTCCTCCTCCTCCTCCCACTCGTCCCCCTCGTCCCCCCCCTTATCCATTTCCTCCTGCTCCTGCTCCCCCCACCCACCTCCTCCTCCTCCCCCTCCTCCTTCTCCACCTCCTCCTCGCGGACCCACATGGTTGTCAAACGCCTAGCGATTCTCGCGCGAATCAGGCACGAGGCCAGAGACGACGCCCGGAGGAGACGAGTGCGCTCAGCAGCCAGTGGTTTGCAGAGGTGTCCCGACGCGATGGACTTGTGAGGCCAAAGGGCCAGGGAGGGCCGGACAAGGGGAAGCACGATGAAGAGGAGCAAGCAACGAGGAGGAGGCGAGGGAGGAGGTGGATAGACGGAGGAGAAAGAAGAGGATGCGGAGAAAGAGGATTGTTTTGCACCTGATCCTCCCGCCGCGAAGCCTCTCCCGGAGTATCGGGATCCAAACTCCCGCCCTGCACTAACGCTCGCAGAAACCATGCTGTCCTGCCCGCCAACCACGGCCGATCTATCTGCGATGGCGGTGCATGTGGAACGAAATCCATCCGTTGGTGACGCTCCTAGTCTGCTCCACAAGAACACGCGTTCTGAATCGGCCGTCTTTCTCGAACATTGGACTCTACTCTGCAAGACTAGCACGACCACATCGCACATGGGGCTAACGTCGACTCCAAAGGGCAATGTTATGTACATCAGCCGCCGGGCTGGCAAGCGCTAACATGTTCGAGGCACAAGCGGAGGGAAAACATCGCCCACGACATCGGCGTGACTCACCACTAC